TTGAAAACAAGACAATGAAACTTGAGTTTTCTGAGACTGAGAGACAGCTCATAGGGAGAAAGGCAGGAAGCTAGGAGTATTTACAAAAAGTCAGGCAGGCAGAGTGCAAGACACCTGTTTCTGTTATGCCATTCTTCCCCAAAGCCTTTTCAAAGTTACTAAGAAAGAACTATGACAATAATTAAGCCTATGATACTCTTGGGAAGGAAGTAAATCTATTCATGTAACAAAAATTATTTTTCCCCCTAAGCAGAAGAGAATATCCACTTGCTTGGCCTCTTACACACAAACTGACAGCAGTTATTACCATGCAACAATCACCCCTTTCTTTCCTCTTCTGATGTCCCCTTCCTCATGTATCCTCCTCATTTACTTCTCTATCCTCCTGCCAGTCCATTCCCTCTTCTGTCCAGCCTGTACTTTAGACAAGGGGGCCCCAAACAAGAATGACATGGGAAATTAAAAACGCAGACTCCCAGGCCCAAACTTATCAAAACAGAAAGGTTTGGAAACCCATCTTAAATCAACAAGCAGCTTTCATGGTACCAAAAATCTTAAGACTCATCAAGTATTAACCTCATTTTTCAGATACAAGAACTACAGCTCAAAGGGTTTAAATGTTTTTTTCATGGTCAAAAATATACTACCAAAACTTTCTTTCTTGGAAGAAACAAACCATTTACTTTTCATTCTTTCTAATTGCATGTATTTGGATACATATGCATACATGTGAAATAAAATTATCTAGTATTGAATAGCTGTTTGCATAAAAATGATTACAAATTGCCCCGGCCAGTTTGGTTTAGTGGTTGGAACACAAACCCATGGACCAAAGGGTCATGGGTTTGATTCCCAGTCAAGGGCATGTACCTGGATTTCTGGTTCGATCCCCGGCTCTGGTCGGGGTCATGCAGGAGGCAACCAATTGATGTGTCTCTCTCACATCAATGTTTTTTTCTCTCTTTCTATCTCCCTCCCTCCCACTCTGTCTGAAAATAAATGGAAAAATATCCTTGGGTGAGGATTTAAAACAATAATGATGATGATGATGGCACTGCTTTTGAGCAGTGCAAAAATATCAAAAAATTATTCAGATTACAAGACAGAGCTTTTATCCTATGTTTTTGCACAAACCTAACAAGATATAACTTAAAAGCAGACAACATTCACTGTGTTGAACACAAAAGATGTAACCCAGATTTTTTCATTCTCCCACTGAACACTATCAGAAAAAAAGACTGCATTAAATCAGCAATGTTCAATCTTCTTCAGCTCATAACACACAAAATAAATTACTAAAATTCTGCAGCACACCAAAAAATATATATTTTTTTGCCGATATGACCCTCCCCCCCAAAAAAACAGGTATAATTTTGATTTATTTATTTTTATTTTTTTGTTAATCCTCACTCAAGAATATTCTTCCATTGATTTATTTTTTAGATAGAATGGAAGGGAGAGAGGAAGAGAGGAAAAGAGAGAGAGAGAGAGAGAGAGAGAGAGAAACATCAATGTGAGGGAGACACATCAATTGATTGCCTCCCTCATGACCCCAACCAGGGCCAAGGATCAAATCTGCAATCCAAGTACATATTCTTTTTTTTTTTAATCCTCACCCGAGGACATTTCTCCAAATTTGTTCAGATAGAATGGGAGGGAGAGAGAGAGAGAGAAACATCAACGTGAAAGGGACACATCGAGTGGTTGCCACCTGCACAACCCAACCAGGGCCGGGACAAACTGCAACCGAAGTATGTGCCCTTAGCAGGAACAGAACCTGGGTCTCTCTGGACTGCAGCCGACGCTCTAACAGTTGAGCCAAACTGGCCAGGGCCAGGTACATATTCTTGACCAGGAATTGAACCCATGACCTTCAGTCCACAGGCCAATGCTTTAACCACTGAGCAAAAATAGCCAGGACTAATTTTGATTCATTTACACTGGACAGCTATTATGTTGGCTATTGTCATTTTTCTTTACTTTCTTTTTTTTTTTTAATTAATCCTCACCTGAGGATTTTTTCCATTGATTTTTAGATAGACTAGAAGGGAAGAAGGGAGAAAGGGAGAGAGACAGAGAGAGAAATAGCAATGTGAGAGACACATCGATTGGTTGCCTCATGCACGACCCCGACCGGGGCCAGGGATTAAACCTACAACCCAGATATGTGACTTGGACTGGGAATCAAACCTGAGACCCTTCGGTCTGCAGGTCAATGATCTAACCACTGAGCCAAACTGGCCAGGAAGTTGTCATTTTTTTATTTGACAATCTATGGGAAAGAGGTCAGTGCCTCTGACTAAATAGTCCAGTATTGCATGTTTTTTTAAATCCTCACCTGAGGATATTTTTCTATTTATCTCCAGAAAGAGTGGGAGGGGGGACGGAAGGAAGGAGGGGGGGGGGGGGAGAGAAACACTGATGTGAGATACATTGATTGGTTGCCTCCCACACAACCTGACCAGGGCCAGGGATGAACCGCAACCAAGGTATGTGCCCTTGACCAAAACTGAACCCGAGACTCATTGGTCTGTTGGCTGACGCTCTAACCGCTGAGCCAAACCGGCCAGGGCAGGTATTGTGTTTTTTTTGTTTTTTGTTTTTAATTTATTTTTTTTATCCTCACACGAGGACATTTTTCCATTTTTTATTGAGATAGAGTGGGAAAGAGAGAGAGAGAGAGAGAGAGAAACATTGACGTGAAAGGGACACATTGAGTGGTTGCCACCCACACAACCCAACCAGGACCGGGGACAAACTGCAACCGAGGTACGCGCCCTTAGCGGGAACCGAACCCAGGTCTCTCTGGACCGCAGGCCGATGCTCTAACCACTGAGCCAAACCGGCCAGGGCTGTTTTAAAAATTCTTGTGGCACACCAGTGTGTCTCTTGCAGCACACCAGTTGAAAATCGCTCTATTAAATGTCTATTTATAACTTTTTGGTTAACTATGGCTAATAATGTACCAGGAGGTAATTTATAGTTTTTCATTTTTTTTCTCTCCAAGGAGTTCCAAGTTAAATTTTAAAGTTTTACACTGAAATATACAATTCCAATTTTCCTCCTGGAGGAGTGATGATATTCCAGTTTTTGGTATAATCCTGATCAGAGCTCAACTGAACTCTGGAAAGAGACAGTTTTTATTTATTTTTATTTATTTTTTAATCCTCACCTGAGGATATTTTTCCATTTATAATCAGATAGAGTGGAAGGGAAGGGGAGAGAGGGAGAGAGAGAAACATCCATCAACGTGAGAGAGACACATCGACTAGTTGCCTCCTGGGTGACTGGATCAGGGCCTGGGACAAACTGCAACCAAGGTATGTGCCATTGACTGGAACTGAACCCGACACTCTAACTGCTGAGCCAAAGTGGCCAGGGCAAGAGTCAGCTTTTAAAAGAACACTAAAAAAAAAAAAAAATCAATGTAGCCTAAAAGCCCTAGCTGTCCAGGTTTGCTTTTCAATAGTCTTGATGAGCAGTGAGCTGAATGCAATGAATACTTTACTTTCTGTAACTCATCTTTTCATTGGCATCGGCATTTCTAGAGTAGCTCAAACTCCCAACTCTAGGATTCACAGCATCTCACTTTATTGATCCACACAAAAGGAAAAAAACACACAAATTAAGTCAGAAAATGGGGGAATCACAGAGATTCCTCTTCGAATCCCCAGTTAGATAAGGTCACTCAATGAGAAGGTGTGATTGCAAGGCCCCTCAAATTCCTACACCTTCACCAGTGTTCTGGCTTAGGCACTGTATTTGAAAACTTTCCAGTTTCACCAAGGAAATTTGCAAATGCCCAATTGAACTGTGAGCTCCTGGTAAGCTCTGTCATGTTTCTTAGAAAAAAAAACAAACTAGAGGACAAAGCATAGATTTACTAATGTGTATTCCTTTTCCCCCGCCTCACAGAAGAAAAACTAAAAACTAAATCTGGGAGTTAAATCAAACACACTGATTAATGCCATACCAGAAATTCAAATACATAAAATCAGTAAGCTCCACAGTTTAGGGGATGGGGAAGACAGTTTAAATAACCCATTTCCAATCTCTAAAACTCTGTTTAGGAAAGAGCATGGGATCTGGAGGCAGTCGACCACGTGACATCTTGGTTGTGGGATGCAGGTCAATTCCTTATTCCCAATCTCATCACTAACCCCATTTACAAGTGGGAAAACGATCAATGCATAGGGTTTTGTAAATGGCTGAGAATGAGAGAGCTTCCTGAACTACACGATGTTTATTTCCTGGTTCACAGAGCCATAAACATGACACAACAAGGATGCCGGCCACAGGCCACAACAACCGGTTCATCAGACCAATTTAAAAGGCATGACAGACAGGCCTTGTGCAAAGACTGTGCAAGGCGGTCCAGGCAGCTCTTAAGAGGCAATTAATACACCTACAGCACTGTGCTTATGAGGTGACAGGTAAACTGCCCACCCCAATTAACCGCTGCCCCTGGCGCTGACTTCTCCCAACGTGGCGCTCTGCACCAAGGCATCCGCAGGTCACTCATGAAGTCATCACCGTGACTCAAAGGGCCCTGCGGTCTAAGGTGAGTCAGACAGAGGAAGGGCAGAGCCACGGCCTAAGACAAGCGGCCACGCTGAAGGAGGTCCTAGTGCTCACGGGCCCAAGGTGGACGGACGTGCGGCTGGGAGGTCAGTTGCTGCAACCTCCGCCGGAAACTCCAAGTCCACCTGCAGCGACTCGCGGGTCACCTCACCCAGCGCACTCACGACGCCGGAGGACGCAATGGGGCCCAACGCGAACAGGGCTTGCCCGGCCCTCGGAAATGTAGTCTATGAAGCGGGGTCCCCACGCCCAGCCACTTCCCGCTCGCCCCCCTACCGCCGTCCACACCGGGTCTTGCTCAGGCTGGCGCTGGGGACGCAGCGGGCCGCGGCCGGCGGAACCCAACTCCCGAAGACCGTGGCCCGTCAAAGGCCCGCCGAGGAGCCCGGAGAAAGTCTGGGAGGGCGCGGGCCACTCACCAGCCGTGGATCCACTTGGCCGTCCGTCGGTTTGTCAGTCCGTCTATCTGTAGCAGTCCCTGGGCTTTCGTCAGGAACTACCTTAGGCGCCGCCACCGCTACCGTAATCAAGCTGGAGAGCGCGGGGACGACCCTACGTGCGCACGCAGCGGGAGGCGGGGCCTGCGGAGGACACGCCTCTGCGGCGGGCACGTGGCTAGTCTTGGTACCCAGATCTGTCCGGGAAGTTGGGGTGCTTGTACATGAATGCTAGCACTGATAAGAACAGGTGTTTATGAGATCGCCTCTGGGCTACGCGCTTTTCTTGCCCGATGTTACTACCTCTTCAGGCTCATCTCGCGCTAGGCTCCACCTGTCGTTTCTCTTCCAGCCACATTGACTTCCAGTCATTTCCTTAATCATCAGGCTGGCTGCAGAGTAAATGACTGGCTGGTAATGTCCAGAGTAGGCAAAGGTGTGGGAAGTTGGCAAGTGTTTGTTGGAGTTTTGGGGTGTCCACGAAAGAAATTCCAAACCTAAAGAAAAGTTTAAAGAGTTGAGCCCTGGCCGGTTTGGCTCAGCGGTTGGAGCGTCGGCCTGCGGTACAGAGAGACCCGGGTTCGGTTCCCGCTAAGGGCACTACCTCGGTTGCAGTTTGTCCCCGGCCCTGGTTGGTCGTGCGGGTGGCAGCCCCTCGATGTGTCCCTTCACATCGATGTTTCTCTCTCTCTCTCTTCCTCTCTCTCCCTCCCGCTCTATCTGAACAAAAAATGGAAAAATGTCCTCGGGTGAGGATAAAAAAAAAAAAAAAGAGTTGACTAGAGCCAAGGATTGGGCGCTAGGCCGGGAAGCAAAATCTTAAAGGCTAGAGATAATTCTCCTGGGAATAGCAATTTTGCAGTTAATTTATACATTGGAATCAAAGGAGAAGACCTAAGAAAGGTTACATGAAATCCATTGATGGACGATTAGAGCAGCGGGAAAAAGTAAAGCGGGAAAATCTCTAGGATTAGATGTTTCTTTTTCTTTTCTTTTTTTTTTTTTTCTTTTTTTTTTTTTACAGATAGAGTGGGAGGGAGAGAGAGGAAGGGAGAGAGAGAGAGAAACATCGACGTTAAGGGACACATCGAGTGGCTGCCACCCGCACGACCAACCAGGGCCGGGGACAAACTGCAACCGAAGTACGTGCCCTTAGCGGGAACCGAACCCGGGCCTCTCCGGACCGCAGGCCGACGCTCTAACCGCTGAGCCAAACTGGCCAGGGCAGATGTTTCTTTTTCAATGGTGGGTGCAGCATAGTTAACATTTAACATAGTTTACAGAAGTATGCAGGTCAAAGATAACAATGAGGAATTTTGGGGTTGTCTTCCCCATGCTGCACTGGGATGTTTATCTTTGCCAGTCTGGAGAAGAGATCATTCTGACATTTTAAATATATTATTTATTCTAGATGTACATAAGCAATAGATAGGGCTTGTTCAAGGTAGAGATTAATCTATCCTATAGGTCTTACGACATGACTTCCCACCATAACCCGCTCAGTTGGGAATGTTTTAATGAACAAAACAACCTGTGTGGTTACTTTCAGTTATTGAGCTTATCAGGCTTGCTAAGGTAGCCTCTTTTTTTGTTCACATGGGGAAGGAGGGACAATTTGACAAGATCTGTTAAAATTTAGAATGAGCCCAGCTGCTGTGGCTCAGTGGTTGAGCATCGACCCATGCACCAGGAGGTCACGGGTTCGATTCCCAGTCAGGACACATGCCCAGGTTGTGGGCCAAATCCCCAGTGGGAGGGCATGCAGGAGGTGGCCAATTGATGTTCTCTCTCTTCGATGTTTCTATCTCTCTCTCCCTCTCCCATCCTCTCTCTCTAAAATCAGTAAAGAAAAAGAAATTTTTTAAAAATTTAGAATGGGGCCCTGGCCAGTTTAGCTTAGCAGTTAGAGTGTGGGCCTGCGGTCCAGAGAGACCCGGGTTTAGTTCCTGCTAAGGGCATGTACCTCGGTTGCAGTTTGTCCCCAGCCCCGGTTGGGTCATGCAGGAGGCAGCCACTCGATGTGTCCCTTTTACATCGATGTTTCTCTCTGTCTCTTCCTCTCTCTCCCTCCTACTCTATCTGAAGGAAAGAAGAAAAATGTCCTCGGGTGAGGATAAAAAAATAAATAAAAATTTAGAATGGGTTCTCTTTGATCCAATAATTCCACTTCTGGGTACCTATTCTAGAGAAATACTTTTGTTACCGAACTCAAGGTGTACACTACTTGAGTTGCTCTATTAAAAAATGCGATGTGGCTGTTGCAAGGAGTTTTATTTACTTGCAGCAAGTAAGGGAGACAGGGAATTTGTCACCGACAAAGAGGTTCTTGCCCTTCCCCTATCCCCCCCACCTGCCCCGCCCAAGATAGAAATCAAGAGAGGAGGCAAAACAGATTCAAAATTAGAGATTTATGCCTGGCTAGTGTGGCTCAGTGGACTGAGCACTGGGGGGTGCCCCTTGGACTGAGAGGTCCTGGTTTAATTCCTAGTCAGGGCACATGCCTGGGTTGTGGGTTCGAACCCAGTAGGGGACATGCAGGAGGCAGCCAATAGATGTTTCTCTTTCACATCAATGTTTCTGTCTCTCTCTCCCTTCCTCTCTCTCAAAAATCAATAAAAATTGGTGTGTTTTCGTTTTGTTTTGTTTTGTTTTTTAATTAGAGGTTTAGTCTTGGCTGGTATGGTCCAATTGATTGGGAATTGTCCCAACCGAAAAGGTCACCAGTTTGATTCCTGGTCAGGGCACATGCTCATGTTGTAGGTGGGTTCAGACCCTGGTCAGAGTGCATGTGGAAGACAACCAATTAATGTTTCTCAGATAGATGTTCTTCTTTCTCCTTAAGAAATAAAACATAAAAACATATTAAAAAAAAACAATTTAAAAATAAAAGAAGCAACCAATGAATTCATAAATAAGTGGAACAACAAATAGATTTTTTTTCTCTCTCTCTTAAAAAAAAAAAAATAGCAAGAAATAACATTTAGGAGTGCCCATACCTTGAAACCTTTGTCCTATCTAACACTGGCAAGAATTAAAAAGGGCCCTGGCCGGTTTGGCTCAGCGGTTGGAGCGTTGGCCTGCGGTACAGAGAGACCCGGGTTCGGTTCCCGCTAAGGGCCTCGGTTGCGGTTTGTCCCCAGCCCTGGTTGGTCATGTGGGTGGCAGCCACTCGATGTGTCCCTTCACATCGATGTTTCTCTCTCTCTCTTCCTCTCTCTCCCTCCCGCTCTATCCAAACAAAAAATGGAAAAATGTCCTCAGGTGAGGATAAAAAAAAGAATTAAAAAGGGCACAAACAAGGAATGTCATTACAACACATACCAGAATAGTCCATTTTGGTGAAAACCTTGAAAAATCCTTTTTAGGTCCACCAAAAGAAGATGGATCCCGGCCAGTGGCTCAGTGGTTGAGCACTGACCAATGCACCAAGAGGTCGCCGGTTCCATTCCCAGTCAGGGCACATACCCAGGTAGTGGGCCCAATTCCCAGTGGGGGGCATGCAGAAGGCAGCCAATTGATGTTCTCTGTCATCGATCTTTCTGTCTCTCCCTTTCCCTTCCCTATAAGAAAAAAACCTCCCCTCCCTATCCCTATAAGAACCACAGGCTCAAGCAGCAAGGGGGTATGGTCTTTGAGATGGGAGTCCACCATCCTCCTACGTCACATGGACCCTAAATAAACCTCTTTGCTTTTGCACCAACACCTATCTTATGAGTTTGGCTTTTGTTGCAGCAAGTAGCCAAACCTGCATTTTCAGTTACACCTTGGCACCAGCACCACTGACCAGAAGCCCAGGGACAGAGATGCTATGCCCTGCCACTTATTGCCTGTACTGGTTTCTGAAGCTTCAGGTTCAGCAAGGCCAAAAGGCACTGGAATTGTTTGGGATGCTACTCTCTCTTTTATTTTTTTATTTTCAGTTATTTCTTTTTAATCCTCACCCAAGGATATTTTTCTATTCATCTTCATGTAGAGAGAAAGAGAGAGAAACATCAATGTGAGAGGGACACCTCGACTGGTTGCCTCCTGCATGACCCCGATTGGGGCTGGGATGGACCACAACCGAGGTACATGCCCTTGGCTGGAATCAAACCCGGGACTCATTGGTCTGCAGGCCAATGCTCTACCACTGAGCCAAACCGGCCAGGGCTCTCTTTTATTTTTTTAAATTGATTTGAGTCCTGGACAGTTTTGCTCAGCGGTTAGAGCGTCAGCCCACGGCCCAGAGAGTCCCCGGTTCGGTTCTCACTAAGGACATGTACCTCGGTTGCAGTTTGTCCCCAGCCCCATGGGGCCGTGTAGGTGACAGCCAGTGGATGTGTCTCTCTCACATTAACGTCTCTCTCTCCCTCCTCTCTCCCTCCCACTCTATCTGAAGATAAATGCAAGAATGTCCTCGAGTGAGGATAAAAAAATAAATAAATAAAATAAAATAAATAAAATTGATTTGAGAGCCCTGGCCAGTTTGGATCAGTGGTTAGAGTATCTGATGATAAATGGATAAATGGGGGAGGGGGAGTCCTCAGGTGAGGATTAAAAAAATTGATTTGAGAGAGGGAGGAAGGGAGAGAGAGAGAAACATCAATTTGTTGTTCCACTTACTCATGCATCATTGATTGATTCTTTTTTTTTTAATTTATTTTTTCTTTATTGATTTTAGAGAGAAGGAGAGAGAGAGAGAGAGAGAGAGAAACATCGATGAGAGAGAACATTGATTGGCCACCTCCTGCATGCCCCTCACTGGGGATTTGGCCTAAAATCTGGGCATGTGCCCTGACAGGGAATCGAACCAGTGACCTCTGGGTGCATGGGTTGACACTCAACCACGGAGCCACACCTGCTGGGCCATTGGTTGATTCTTGTAAGTGCCCTGACAGGAGATCGAACCCACAACCTTGGCATGTCAGGATGATGATCTAACCAACTCAGCTACCCAGCCAGGGCTGGGATGCTACTTTCAATGAAACCTGTTTCATAGGCTTGTGACCCAAGCAGTTACATGGAGTCCCATGCGCAAAAAGTCCCGACACTTGGTTTAATGTTTAGCTGTCACTGTCTTGAAATATTTGATAATTTTTTA